ATATATATATATATATATTTTTGGTACCGGGGATTGAATTTGGATCCTTGCGCCTGCGAGGCAGGTGGCGGAACTACTGAGCTAAATCCCTGGCCCGACCACAATATTTTTATGGGGTACCTTTCAGTTAGCAGGCACTAAGCAGCAGCATTCACAGTAATTTTGAGCATACCTCATAAAGATACAAAAGATGACTTCCAGAACTGCTTCAGAAAATGGAAAAAACAATGGGATGGATAACATGTTTAAAGTGAGGGATAGTATTCTGAAGGGGATTACTGGCAATATGTCTTTTACTGTTTTAAAAAAAACTCTTCAAAATTTAAACATTCACTTTATTTTGTAATCACCCCTTGTATACATATTCTCTAAAATATTTGTAATATCATCTAATAGGCATAATACCAGGCACTGTTAAGTGCTTTGTATTTTTCTCTTTTATTCTTAACAACTCTTTGAGAAAGGTACCATTGTTTTCCAGGTAAGGAAATGAAAGCAGAGAATGTTTAGTTTTCCTGAATATCTTATGCTCAGGTGAATATCTTATACTCAAGTTGGCTCTAGAGTCATTCATCTCTTTTCTAACATGTTTTCACTTAAATCACAAATAATTATTCCTACTGATAACATATATTTAACATCATTTTGATGACAGTGCCATAATAGCAAACACATGAATAGAAATTGGAGTGCCAGACCCTTTTCTAACCATTAATTTAATCCTCATAACTCCTGATGAAATAGGTACTATCCATAATATAGGTCATCATTTAACCAATCCTTATACTTAAAGTTGCTTTTTAGTTACTAACAACAGTGTAATGAATTTTACTGTAGCTGAACCGTTCTCAGATTGCTTTGGCATAAATTACTAGAAGTAAAATTGCTAAGTTAGAAGGTATGACTATTTGAGGCTCTTAAAGAATTCTTCAAAATGCTTTCAAGAAGGTGGCATCCATCTTTTATTACCATTAATAGAGAAAAGCAGCTTCTTCCCTTCTCTAACATGAGTACTGAATATTATATTCAAATAAAATGTTAAAATTATAAATAGCGATACTTAAATGAGTTTATGTGCTAAGTAGTAAAGAACAGTTGAGAAAACTTTTTACTCTGTACCATACCTACTAACCAGCACTGTATCCCTTGAAATGGAAATTTAAAAAATTTTGATGGTATCATTTGGAGTCCATCTGTAGTAACTTCTTCAACATTTCCATAATCCACAAAATGTACTTTAACATTTCCATTTGGTAAGATTTCCTTGACTAAGGCACGATACCAGTTACCATCACCTAGATTTAACACAAAGTTTGTGAGATGGAATGTTTACCTTCTATTAATATTTGAAATTTTTATCTTGGGGTAAAAACAATCTTTTTTTTGTATTAAATTCTTTTATTGGTACATTGTAGGTATACAACACAATTACATTTCTCATTGGGAA